ATAAAAGTGATAAGAAATTTAACTTTCCCAGCGTCCGCTGGGGCTGTACGTTTTTGGTCAAAAATATATTTTTTTCTCTGAAAAGTGACAACTTCACCAAACTTCACTTTTAAGGTAAAAAGTTCTTCTATCATCTCTCAAAACAAAACCACTGAAAATGATGTAGTTCATATGCCAAGCCAGTAAGTGGCGCTGTAATGCTGCAATGCTGAAATCCACAAAAGACAGAAGAAGAGTACAGATGCACATGCGTATGAAAGGTTGTTTTGGCCGCACAGGTGCCATGAAAGAGTTACACTATGTGTGACATAATTGTTTCAAGAGAGATGCAGGTAGACATCCACACGGAGATGAAATGGTAGTCATTTACGGATCTATGCACCCTCTGACCCTTTTTCAAAAAGTACCTTTTACAGTCACCCGAAACTCTATTTCTGTGTGGATGAAACGGCAATACAATAAAAAAACTTTCGTGTTTACTCCTAAATTTATTTCTGTGTGGACAGACCGATACCAACTTCAGACAGACTTTATCATCTGAAACTGCGAAGCCGTACCAATTCCACACGACTGACTTACTCTCGTCCTATTTAGCCACGAAATTATCACCTTCTTTTGTAAATGCCATGTTTGTTTACACTGGTGTGTGTGGGAACTAGGGAACACTCCCACAGGAAGGGGCAGCCTACTGTGCCCTGGAGAGGCAAGACATGATACAGAGGAAAATCGATTTGACTGTTTTAATTTTTTTCAACATCATCACAATCAAATAATCTGATTACGATTTAAAATTGATAAACTGTGCAGCCCTAGTATCCGCCTGTGTATTCAGCTGCAACATTCACCACAGACAAAGTGGGCATGCTTGGAGGTATTTTTCTGTTCTGTGCAGCGTTCTTCTCATAATTAGAACGGTGATCACGATGTTTAGATTTCAGGTGATAAATTAAACCCGACATGAAGAAACTCTTTGCAGATGCATCCCCTCTTGAAATTTTTGCACTATTCGCTTTGCAAAACACTATCTGTAGTTCTCAGATATACTCAAATACGTCCACACCGCAGACATGTTGGCCCTTCTGTTTAACCGTATGTGAGTGTGGGTCAGTTAGTGTAGTTGTTGTGTTTTTTAGCATTGTTGCTTCAGCAGGCAGACATTATTACACTATTACACTGACTGACAGCATCAATCTGCTTTGATGGGACACACACACACACACACACACACACACACACACACACACACACACACACACATAAACAGACACACACATATGCACATACAGGTCCTGGTCCTGTAGATCTGCTGAGTCTGTGCTCAGTCCACAGTTTGTGATATACAATCCAAACATAGTCACAGCCAACATGTTTGCAGAGAGGGGAAAGCTGAATCTCAATCTTCAGCTTTGATTGCAGCTCAGAGTTCACTCTGTTCTGCCTCAATTGCAGCATTTTGTCTTTTTTCTTCTGATTCTGATTGGTCAGTTTCCTCCCTCTGTAGCTCCACAGCTCCTCCATCAGCTGCTGGACTACAGAAAGTCAATAGACCTCCAGGTATTTGGAGGAGAACTGGAAATGTGCTGCAGTGTAAAAAGGCCTACAGTCTTCAGTAAAGATTTGAATCCACAGATCATCCAAACAAAGACAAGAGTCTTTGAGTCACAGAGAGGGACTGAAATGTGAATCCAGCAGCAGCAGCAGACACAGTAGCAGAGGTGTTTTCTTCAACAGGATTACCTGTTTAAATGAAGGATTCACAGAAAGAGGATGTGTGGATGTGTCTAATGACTGAACACAATCAAAAGCTTGAATCCTGTAATCCTATTAGACTCTGTCAGTCTGATTTTTACTGACTGTGAGAGCAGGAAAACAAACATCCTGGAGTTTGGAGGCTGAATGTGACAGAAAGCTAACACTTCTAGCTCTGTGCTTTAGCAGCAAACAGCACAGTGATGATGTCTGTTAGCTTTGGTTAGTGATCATAGGACTGATCTGAAGATCTCTGCAAATACTTCAGATACAGCTTCTACTTTAGGGGACACGCCCTGAATAAAACACACACTTCTCTGATATCTGATTTATGATCCATGACATCTGTTTGCATCCAGACCCCATCAGCAATAATGACCACAGACTCATTTTAAAGACAGCTCACTCCCTCTGAATAAAGATAAAATGATGGAGCTTCATTTCTGATCTCAAAAAGAGCTGAAATTCAGTGAAGTCTCTGACGCTTTATCTGAACCCACCACCAACAGAGAGTGAAAGAGAGGGAGAGAGAGAGAGAGAAAGAAACACTCTGTAGTTCTGATAGTAGAGGAGCTTTTTCCTCTCTCTATCAGCCATGAAATCCTCTACTGCCAAAGCAAAGACACTCCAGTTTTATCAGTTTCTGCTGTTCAGGATTCCTGACTCACTGAGAGTGACACCCTAAAATAATGTCTGAATCACTGAAAACAAATTTGACAATTTGAACAATTGAGCAGAGGAAAAGGACAACATTTGATCCTCAGATCGAAATGTCAGAGCAGAGAGGGTGTGAAGGTGTAAAAGATGGTTTTCGACGATTATTCCAAAAAATACACAAAAAATACAAAAGTCTCAGAGCGTTGAAAGCCAGTAAATCAGAAACGACAGAGAATAGAGTCCAGACAGTAATGTGGGAGCAGAGAGGATGTGCAGGTGAGGGAGGTTTTCTGTCTGAGTGAACTGATGAGAACAAAGTCAGAGAAAAGACTTTGACTCTCTGAGAAAGGGTTTAAAGATGGAGGCAGGGATGAGAACCTGAATGATGGATCTCTTTTTCAGCTCCCTCAGCTTCCCTAAAGTCTAAAAACCTGATGAGAATAAAAACAAACAGCTGATTTATTCTTTTCTGTAGAGACAGGACTGGATCATGCTGACAATCAGAGTTCAGGTAAATAGTGTTGTGTCGTTCACGAAAGATTCGTTCAAAAGAACCGACTCTTTTAGGTGTACGTACTGAACCGAATCACTTCCTCAAGTAATTTGTTTGTTTCTTACTTCAGTTGAACTGTCATCAGCGCAGACTGCCACAACAACAACTTGCATGCAGTAGGACACAGCATGTAACAAGTAGTGTATAAAACCTGCAGTTTGAGAACTGCGTGACTGTCTGATCCTATCATTGCGGCAATTTGCGAGGGAACAGTTCATGTTCAGTGTGAATCCTTCAAAGCAACACAGCTACAACACTCTCGTCTCCTGGTCCCAGAAGCCATGATCTCAATCCTGAACCATTCAGCTGTGTATCAGTTCAGGAAGTCGCAGTTGCAGGCTCCTCCCGCCAAGCGCTGAATGATTCAGTGATTCGGTGAATGAATCATTTGAACGAATCTTTTAAGTGAAACCTTTTAGTGAACTGACTCTAGTGACTCAGTCCATCTAAAAGAACTGCCATACCCACCACTACAGGCAAAGCTTGACCTGTCTTTGTCTTTCTTATTAGGCTGCTTGTAGCTGCCTTCTCTTTAAATTAGCCAATCAGATTTCTCCCTGCCTCTCTGGACCAATCATGTCCCTGCTATCAGACTTTATAAAGTCCTGTCCCCTCAGCAGCTTCATGAATCAGTGATTTTTAAAGACATGACAGAAATCCATCAGGGACACACTGATGACGAAAATGAAGAAAAATGGAGAGTGAATGTTTCCATGACGATCCTCCAGCAGCTTTTACAGTCTGACTACATGAGCAGCAGATTGATCCAACCCCCCTCTGTTATCACAAACAGCCTCCATCAGGAATCTGTGACTGAGAACCCAACAGGTGTCTTTACCTGAATACTGAGGCTCAGGTGTGTTTACAGAGCTTTCAGATGGAGCAGCTGATTGGTTAGTGAGCTGCTTCTGTCATCACTCCCTCAGCATCCACTAACAGCTGATTTAAAGCTGCTCGTCTCTCAGTCTGAGAGCCTCATCACTGACTGCTGCTGACATCTCACCACACAGAGGAGAGACTCCACTATGTTTTACAGGGATGGTCTTGTGGAGACCTTTAACTTAACTGAGCTCTGAATCTAAAACAGAAATGGGATAGTGAACAGCCCATCCTGTAGTCCTGACAGACGGATTTCCTCAAAGCTGTCAGGAAGAAGTGTGTGAGTGTCTCTGCCAGCTGACAAGCCTCCACATACTTGCTCTCTGCTCTCTGTACACTTATATGAGACTCTCTGAAGCTGCAGCTGGACCACCAGCCTTTGCACCAGATACTCAGAAAATTCTCAACATCAAGATCAAATCAGACCAGATCAGACCATCAGCTCCTGCTCAAAGTCTCACACTGAGGGTACTCAACAAACACACCACCTTTGAGGGCTCAGGGCTGTCCCACAGTCAAATCATTAATGTGAGGGATCTCTGGCAGACCTTTGAGCTCTTTGTGTACCCTTTCTGTGAGTGAGCATATCAGCAGACATGGTGTAAGGGAATAACCTGGAGTTCATAGCACTGTTATGTGATGCAAGGGACTCCCTGGGGGAAGCCTACAAGCATGGAAGAGTGAAAAAACACAATAACAGGAAATGAAAAGACAGCAACTGAGACACATGGGAGGTGTAAAATTGATGCTTAAAAATGTGTGAGCATACATAAGAAACGCTACTGAGATACGCCTGTTTTTAACCCCATCTCAGGCTACAGCACAAAATCTAACAATACCTCTTTTCATAAAATATGCAACTATCTACTTTGCTTCTTATGAACCTTTTCAGAATTATTGATGCAAATCAAAAACTTTAACATTAAGTTCTTACTCTGGTTAATATAACATTAGAGTATGAATATCAGACAGTATCTACCTCTTTTTTAGAAAGCAAGAAAATATATCATCCCATGAGTTGCATCATGGTTTCAGAGTGATGGAGAGAAGTAGTTAAGGTGAAAACAAAAATATATGAAATAAAAAAAATATATTTACGTTACTACAGAGCAACAGGTTGTTGTCTTGTTGGTGTTAATTACTTCAAGCCTTCAACGCCTCATTCACTCAACCAGAGTTTAGGGTTTAGGAAGGAAACCGAGATTCAGCCAAAGACTGCTTTCAGATCAGATCATGAACTACTTTAAACAGAGCAAACAGAGCTTTGCTGGATCTGCCAACAGCTGAAAGTCAGCATGAGGAAGAGTAGGAAGATATGTCTGAGTCTCTCTCTCTGTGTCTGTCAGGGAAGGAAGTCACTTCACATACCTTCAGAACTCGAGTCAGCAGCAGACGGACAGAAGCACAAGAAACATCCACTGTGGGCAGTTGTCACTGCTCTCTCATCTCCACTGTTTCCTAGTAGAAAACCATGTCAGCACATGAAATGAAAAGAATCAAACCATCCCTTGCCTTGAAATCCAACGAGGAAAGCGACGCCGGGGATCCACACGGTGTGTATCCAGAAGTAAAGCATGGTGTCCTTTGATCGGCTGGAAAAGCTCCGCGCTCTTCCCGACGAAGCTCCGTCTCCAGCGGATAATTTCCAGAAGAGAAAGCGCTGAAAGTGAAGCCGAGCGGAAGAAGAAATCCCAGTCTGACCGCTGCTGATCAACACTCTGTCCCTGCTCCACTCCACCTGCTGCTGCTGCTGCTGTTGGACAACGAGGACACAGCGACCCCTACAGGAACAATATCATACGGAGCGCGCACGTGCGTTTATGTATATATATATACTTCGGGTTCAACTTACCCCACTACGGACGAAGGAGAGATGCAAACAAATGGAAAGACAGAAAAGTGACCGAGATAATTCTGTATCTTTGCTCCAGGGACACGTAATTGCACGTCCAAGTGATGACGTGTCTGTAAGTCAACTTTAACAGCCGTTTCTGTCTCCCACGCGCTGTAATAAAAAAAATATATATAAAAACACGCAGTATCAGTTTGTTAGTTTGTTTGTGTGTTTGTTTTTTTCTTTGTGTTTTGTATCTTTGACAAACACCTGCACATGAAGAACCTTCATGTGCATGTGAACCTTCAAGCCTGTTGATTCTGTGACTGACCTTAAAGCATACATGGTAAAGATAGAGTGACTGGTAATATGAATAATAATTAAAGTATTTATAAATTATTTGCACTGTGTTATTTACTTTTTATTGTCAATGTTTCATTTCATGATGTTTCAGGAACTCTCTGAACAGTTATTATTTTGTTAAAAGTTTCAGGGAAAATAGAAATCGGCAACACTTTTCAGATCAGATATTTAGGATCATCCAGATATGCAATTTAAACATGATAACTCACTGATAACTTACTGACCAATTGCATCTTAATATTTTATGTTATTCTTTATTGTGCTAACAGACAAACTCCTTTCTCTGAATTAAATCCTCTCTGTAACAGGACAAATCACCAATAATGAATATCGAAATTCCATCCATGATATGATTAGTCGTAGTTGGATGATGAATCTCAAAGAAATGAGTCTGAGGCAAAACTTACAAGTGATACTTTGCTTTAATTCAGATTATGTCTTTAAACTCCTCCAGGTGTCATTTACATGTAGCAGATAATATATTAAAAAAAAAACATAAATTAAAATGACATACAACAATCAGTTATACATAAGTGCTAATGTATGAGGGGAATTTTAGAGTAAGTTAAAAACTTAGAAATTTTTGACCCATTTAACCAATAACTGATTGTTTGAAACTGACATATTTCTAATCTGTTTTACAGCTCCCCTTTGTGTCTGTTTTAAAGTCCAATCGGTGTGTGATATTCAAAAGGGGGCATGTCCTCCAGTAAAAAGGTATCGTAGAAACTTGCTGTTCCCACTTATTGTTCCTCCACCTCCTCCTCTAAGCTGTGTTGAGAGTGTTTTAATGCCACTAACCATAGTGGGTCTTTATGCTCTTCTGAGTCAGCCATGGACTGAAGACACATTAAATAAGAGCTTTGGGATCCAGGGTATCTGTGTATAGTAAGTTTTTGTTAAAGCAGCCTCTCTCATGGTTCAGCAGCTCTGACTGAGAACTTGACTTTCACAACCATGTCTTTAACTCAGAGAGAAACAGTATGAGCCAGTACAGAAAACAAAATACTCCTTTCTTAAAAAACAAAACAAAAAGCCTTTTACTCTCTGCCTTTGTCTAGTGTTCACATAAAAGCCCTCTTGCAGGGTATTAAGCTCTCAAAGTGTGTCAGAAGGAGCAGCTGAGACTTGTATGTGTGAGTATAAAATGTGAGAAGAGTGTGGTTGGTCTCATTGGGCAGAGTTAGTTATCTGTCTGCAGACTCCTGTGGTGTTTTACCCCGCAGAGACCTTGGCAGCTGATTTATTACAGCTCTCACGGTTAAAGAAGTGCTAGCTTGGTTTTTATAATTGGACCAACTCTATTTGCAGTAGGAGTGTAGAAGGTGAGCATGTGAGGTAAAGGAAAAAAGAGGAGCTTTTCTATTATTTTAGTTTTGAGAATTAAGAATATTAGGGCGAAAAATAGCTGCCATTAATACGTAAAGATAATGGGATAATAAAGGCATCCCTGATTATAAGGAGAATTTTAGCAATGCAGAGTCAGCTGTTCATTGTTTTTCATTAACCACCATAAGGCTCATTCAAATCATGGCCTATGACTGCACATTCATTAAGAAGAATAGATCGGATGACTGCTGATTCATTAAGAGGAAAGGGGTTCATGAATGAATGTTCAATGATTTAACAGGTGTGTTTTAACACAGTGACAGTCCCTCCATGAAACAGCAGTCAGCAGCAGCAGTAATGATTCCAGGAGGAGTTTCACTGTGGGACTGTTTTGTTTGGTAAACACATTTGTAACTGAGGGGAATGCTCATATTTGTTTCAGTGATGTTGCTTTCAGGGATGTTGTTCAATAAATAGTGCCACCATCAGAGCATTTTCTATTATATTTGTTTCTGTATTCATTAATGAACCTTGTTTTGTTAAGTTTCAGTCTCCATCTGCCACGCTTCCCACAGACCCTCTGGCACAGGCTGACTGTGTTTGGAGGTTTGTTTACATTCACCACCTGCTTCCCTCACACTGCTCATTTGTACTTGAGTCACAGAGGGGATAAATATTGTTTTCATTAAAAGCCGTCAGCAGAAAGAGAAACAAAGCAAAGGTTGGATGTAATCCATCAGCACAACTTGATGAAAAATATAGTTTTCTGTCAAAGCCAGAAAAGTGAGACTTGATGTATTCAGTCAGTGTAAACACTCTGCAAGCTGTCATTCATTATTCATGTCATATCTGTGTGCACAGGCACAGGGCTTGTTAAAGAGCATTCATAGCTATCTATGTAATTTTAGGCTTCTCCGGAGCTCTTTTACAAAATCATTGTGTCAGCCTTAAATCTGAGTTGCATGAAAAATGAACCACACTCCTACAGGTCTGCAATCACTGTCCATTTCGCAGCCAACATCATGGATAACACTCACAGTATGAGTACATAAAAATCTACATATCTGCCGTTTGTTTTATAAAACCATCATTTAAAAAAAGCTTCCAACTGATGATGGTCTGTAATGAGAAACTGTGTATGGGCAGGTGGAAATCAATGACTGCACATTAGCAAGCATCATTAGTGGCTCTGCAAATAACGGCAATCTTGCCAATGTTTGAAAAAGACATTAGCATCACATATTGTGAGAAATTGGACAAACATTAAAGTTTATTCCAGTCTATAATGTTGGATGGTTTCTCTAGCTTTGTGCAATCAGGGACCGCAACACAGTGTGTCATCCATGTTATGTTCACTCATGGTTGTTTGTTTTAATTTAATTTTAAATTACCACCCACAGTCTTTCTGTACTCTAAAATATCACTTAAACCAATACATTTATTGTAGGAAACAAAAAAATATTATCAGTTTGCGGAAATGTTACATGTGCCATATGAGAAATACCGATGATTCTTTGCTACTTCTTAAGTACAGAGTCTGCCAAGTTGATCTTCACTGATACTAATGATAGAAAACTGTAGATTCTATAGAATCCCCCATTCAGCATCAATGACAGAGCAGCCACACAGCTATTCAGCACCATGGACAGAGGCTGAGTTGCTGCACAGCAATTCAGGACCAAGGACAGAGACTGAGCACAGAACCACTGCCCTGATTTCTGCTGAATCAATTAAGTTTAATGACTGCTTGTTAGTATGAAAGTTAAAAAAAAACAAAAAACAAGACTGCCAAAGCACCAAAAATATATATTAACAACATAATATAATACGATTAATAGTAAACAATAACTTAGAACAACAATAACAGTCAACCAATTAATGACAGCTCTGTCTCTGTCAATGGCGCCGAATAGAGAGTCTCATTAATCTTGCTGCACAGCTCCTCAGTTTTATTACACAACGTAAAATCCCTTCAGTGTAATCATTTAAAAATGGGTAAGTTACTTTTATACCACAATACAACAACTTTTATTCATCCCAAAAGAGAAATTCATTTGTCTGGAATCTCGTGAAAAAAAATAAAAGATAATAATAATTATAATAATTCTCTGGAACAGCTAACAAACTGTGTAAATCGGTGAGGTGAGAGGAGAGGGTGACATGGTTGAAGTCTCCTGATATTATTACAAGTACCTCAGAATGTTGAGTCTGTATTCTAGCACCAGTATCATGGTGAGGACATGTAAACAACTATTGTTATGATATGACTGAACTCCCTTGGAAAATAATATGGCCAAAGAGCAACTTTCAACAGTGATACACAAAGGTTGCATCCATGCTGCTTTTTTGACATTGTACCATATTTTGATGTTTTTGTTTCTAGTTGTGTTCTTTTTTTCTGCTCTTTTTTTGCCCTACTTTTGAAATGTAGTGTTGATGAAAAATATTTCCCCTGACATAGCTATTTTTTTGACTGATGTCTCTTTTCATCTACCCAGGAAAACCTTCGGTGCAACATACAGTTTCACACAGGGATCTCACTGCACATGTTTGAATCAAGCACAGCAGTGCATCAATAAAAAAGCTGTTATTTATCCCTTGAGCTCCATTGCTATTAACCCAAACACAGGCACATATTTCCTGAAAACTTTCACTGACCTGAGTGTTGGATCCCTCACAGCAGGCTGCCTCCTGCCACTTACTCTGAGATGTAATGAGTCTGAAAGTGAAACCTTTCTGCCTGACTTTCCATCCATCAGAGTTTGGGGTTAGAGCTCAGAAAAGTTTGGTATTGATCTGACTTGTAAATTTGACACCAAACACACAGTGGTCTGTGAGCTATAAGCTGCAGAAGTGGATCATTTACAATAAACTCACTGAGACTCTCAGCTTCTTGAACTCTGTTGCTAATGACTCTTGGAGCTCTAGTTTCCTCTGCTGCTGTCTCTGTCCTGAATAAAGAGCCCCTCTGTCTATTTCTAGTGACTCTATCCTAGTGGTTTCCATCACACACCACCCCCAGCTGATTACCTGCAGGGACTCTGTGGAGAGGTTGATTTATGACTGTGTTCCCGTCATTATATGTGAACTCTTTGTAGCACCACTGCAGCTCTGTGCTTGCTTACAAATAGGCTTAGACTGCTGTGATATCACTTTACCCCTGACACACTCAGATACATGTAGAGCATCAGTTTCTCTTTCAGATCTCATTCTGGTTCGCTTTTCCATCCCTGGACCTCAGTGCTAGCAGAGCAGATCTTACACATTCAAACCAGAGAAAAAAACTAGAACTTTCTATAAACATAAAATCAATTAGGAGAAGCAGAGTAATTAAGATAAATGCTCTTTCCTCTTCACTACCTCTCCATTAAAGCGGTTCCTCTGCTGCAAACAGAGAGCCTCCAGCTGCAGTGAATTCATGGAGGAGTTAGAGGAGGAGGGAAGATGATTGACAGCTGCTTAAAAAAACAACAGGGTGTTGTTTGAACAGCTGGTGTTAGTTTTCAACTGTCTGCAACTATAAACAACATTTTGAGATTAAACCAATTAACAAAAGCCTCATGATAAACTATGGAGGAAGTTCTGCCAGAGTAAAAATCACTTCAAAAACAGTTGAAGTATCCACTCAGAGTATCCAGGTCTATCATCATGCTAATGTTACCTTTTTATTGTTCAAGTAAATCCATGCTGTTCAAAAGTATTAGGAT